GTCTCTCAGTTTGAGGCAGCTGAAGCGGTTCCTCTGCTGGCACTTAACGGTGAGGAGGTTCCACCAGCTTTGTGTACACAGAACAAACTCCTTTTGCAGGGAACAAGACCGGGGAGACCAGTAACAGGCTCATCAGCCAGAGGTCAACCAGATTCCCAGTAGTAATGGAAAGGGGAAATAATTGTCAAGCTTCTTTCTAGCTGGCAAGGGGCCTAGAGCTTGGATCTGTTGCCACTGATGAAAATGTCAGTCTGGTCATCGAAAGAGTTCCTCAAAATACACTTCGTATGGCTGCAGGTGTTTGAAAAGCAAAGGACTGTCAGGTCAGAACTTGCCATAGTGAAAATTAGTTGCTGTTCACTCACTATTTTGGCTTTTTAAAAATATTTGCACAAGGTGATGAAACAACTACTGACCTGCCTTCAGAAATAAACTCTGAAGAGAATGCTCCTGGGAGGAGTTTACTGCAGTCCAAATTAGATAAAGCAAATTGATGTGGTTCATGTATTATTGATCTTTCAGCAATAAATCCAGAGGGGTGTTCATAAGCAAGAGACATAATTATCCAGATTTTTATCCTTCTCACTGGTGTGAAACAGCAGTTTTCAGGGAATACGTACCTAAAGCATACCTGGTGATTAGTCCCACTGTTCATCATTATTAATATTCAGGAAAAAAAAATTTAAAAAAAAAGGGAATGGATTTTAAAAACTTCCTGGAAATTATATAAATCTGTTAATTCCTGATGTTACAATTATTTGTTTTGTTTGCAAGTGCCATTTAAGATTGGGATTGTCATGTCTATGGATCTGAGCATGCCCATTTCAATGGGAGATCTTCTGGAATATAAAGATGTTCATTAAGTTGGCAGGAAGGTAAAGAGTGGAGGGTGGAACTGTGAAGGCAATTAAAGGACTTGCAAAGTCCTTTAAGTAGAGCCTGGAACAGAGCCAGCAGTGAATGCAAACTAATTGAATGCTTGTATAAATTCTTTAATTACTTCAGCCTGCACACACAAAACAGTACCAAAGTAGATTCTATAGACTAGGCAGCGAGTCTGACCAGTTTTATGGAATCATTCTACCAGCTCTTTGATTAGAGGAAGTAATGGAGCTGGGCTGCAGCTGCTGCTGCTGCTGCAAGTGTAGTGTAAGTGGAAATCAGTACAACAGGAATTTTGCACATCCTCTCCTTGGAGCTCATTGGCTCCTCCTTTTGCATGTAGGAAATCAGTCAAGCCCTTCTGGTCCACCCTGCTGTTCAGTAAAATATGGCTTCAAAATGACATCATAAAAAAGAGTGTGGCAAGAAACAAGAAGAGGAAAACCATGAGCAAGGCAGAGGGCTCTGCCATGAATAGCTAAAATAATAACTAACAGGGTTGAAAAAGCCAAAAGCTCATAGGAGAACCCAAAGTGATTCTGCCTTAAAGCTTTTGAAAATGGCCCATGGCCAGATGGAAATGAGTTCATTTAACATATGACTTATCCTTTTCTTTTTCTTTGAATGGCATGGAGCTCCCAATAATCTTTCAGCTTGGTTAAATTCCTGGGTTTTTTCTTCCTATTGAAAAGTTGTTATCCCACATCTCCAGCTCACTTCACTTAGATAAAGTATGGAATAGAGCTGGCATGAAGTGAAGAAGTGGTGAAGTCTAATAGCCAGCTCACTAACAAAATCATTATGGGATGTTTTTAATGTAGCAGCTGCCTTGGGATCAGTAATAATGCAGTTAGCAGTCAGCCTGTGGACAGAGTATGTTGAGGCTCATCAAATACCTGCTTGCACACGCTGAGATGTTGCCATCAGAACCCTGTTTCCTCACTGCTGTTTGCAGGTGAGGGGTGCTGTCTTTTCAGGCAAAATGTGCTGCAGGGTGTTGCATTTGACACACAGTTTGTTTACACCAGGCATCCCAGAGGAAACTGTTGAAAAGCCTGCAGACTTTTGACAGCAAGAGCTGATTAATCTGTGGCACTAAGACAGTGTGTGAGCCCTTTGGAGCAGGGCTATCTTCTCCAGCTGGTTTCCACAGTAGCTCTCACACTGGGATGGTGTTCCCACACCAGGTTTCCCCAGCACTGTTTTTGTCCAAACAGTACCTGCAAGGGCCAGGGGGCTCATCCTTTCTGCTGAGGCCACAAATCACCTTGTGAAAGGGAGCTTAAATTACGAGTTAGGGTGGTCTGATGTACCTGGAACCTACAAATGATTGGACTGTGGAAATTCCTGCAGGAGGGGAGGTTTGTTTACCTTAGGGATGTGTAGCAAAAATGTGAGAAAATAAACATGGCAGCCAATAGGATGGCAAGATTGAAAGAGAGTGGGGTGCTATGGGTATTTTCCTGTGGTGTGTCAGCTACTGTTGCAAGATTAATTAATAGAAGGAAGGCCCTGTAATAAAAGTAAATCAGATTGTTTTCCTCATAATTATGCCACTAGTAACGATCCCCAGTTGGAGGCAGTGAGAAGGTCAGAGTCAGTGCTGCAGTTGCAGTCACTTTGGAGCAGGGACTGTTTCTGATCAATGTTTGCATAATATCTGTTCCAGGGAAGATTCTCAGGGCTGTTATGATCCATTAGCTGGACTGTGCTGTTACTTAAGAGAGAAATGTCATATTGAAAATCCATGGGCACAACTGTTGATGACAAAAGGAGGAGTCACCGAGCACCCACTGGAGTGTCTTCTGTAACTAACCCCGAGTAGATTATGTGCAGTCTTACCCAGGTGGGATATTCATTGATCCAGGTCAAAATTGCTGAGCTACCAACACTGTAATTAAGCAGCAGTTATTGAACTGAAGTGCACTGGACACATACAAAACAAGTTGGAAGACACATACAAGAGAAGTTGGAAACCAAAACAAAACCGCACACCATCCCCCATGAAGGTATTTGTTAAAATGCCTCTGTGGATAGAAAAAATTCAGGAGTAAATGCAAGAATATGTCAAAGTCACATTAGAGGATATGAAGTCATGGGTATAAGGGTCACTGGTGATTTCCTGAGTGGACTGTTGATGGTGACGGACATTATCTTGCAGAGGAAAGTGAAAAGAGAGGATGGTGAGGTGGGGAGAGCTGGCCCAGAAACCGAATATTTACTCCAGGGAATAGAGGGATCTTTCTGCACACACACTGAGCTCCTCTTCCCTTTACTGGCAGGATAGGTCATGGCCTAAGGAAAAGAGGCATCCCATCGGATCATGCATGTCCCAAGCTCCCAGTTTGGAATTACTGCTGCGTGCCATCTCCACTGACACCTCTGCTCAGCTGAGATGGGCACCTTTAACCTCTCTGGAAGTCAGATAATTCCAAAACTGGTGATCAGGTTTGCAGGAGTTGCTTTATAAACATCAGTAATAGGTACATGCATAGTTAATCCAGACTCCATGCTGTCTGGAGAGGGTGGGGAAGAGAGAAGGAAGAGTTTCAGGTGTTTAGCCCAGAAAACAGTGTCCAAGGGGGATGTGAATGGCGCACTAATTGTTGCATATCCATGATGGTGCTTTTTTTTTTTTTTTCTGCTCTTGTTAAAAGTTTACTTTCTTGAGATCCAGTTCAAGCAACAATTTGGAGTGTAGTTGTTGCATTTGGTGAGTTTTTGTTGTTTGTTTTCCCAAGGGCATCCTTGACCTCACCCTTTGTATAGGCTGAAGTTAATGGAAGGGCCTGGTGAAACGAGTGGGGATGTGATGGGTGCAGCAGGTGAGACAGTTGAACAGGGCTGTGGTGCTCAGCACCGCTACGCTGGCGGGGGGTGTAAATACAGTTCCTGAGCTTATTTTTGCAAAACAGCAAGTGCTGAGAGCACACCTCGCAGGCTGCTGAATTCTCCAGGCAGTGATTACTTTGTTTTTCAGTGTTAACTCTGTATTAGTCCCTCTAACGAGCCAGAATGGAGTTTTGACATTTAGATCCCCTCCAAATGAACCTACAGATTTCATTATATGTACACCAGGATACTGTTTTGCAGATCATTACTTTCTACTTGAGAAGTCAATGGATATTTTGAGATCTTAAACCCTCTGTTTGCTAGAAAATTCCACACATTTCTTGCAGGTATTATTTATATGGAAGATGTAAAAATAAAAAAAAAAACTGAATTAAAAAAAAAAATCACAGATGCGGTAACTGCCCCATATTTCACCTGATTCTCAATTCCATACTGTTGTGATTCTCCTTCCAAACGATATCCTTTAATCTAATCTTACACTCTTGCAGAAATTGGAAAAGACACTGACTTTGATAACTGTGAGTGCACACCAGCTGAGCTGCTTTGGGCACATGGAATCTTTATTTAGGAGGTTAAAATGAAAAAGTAAATGTTACTACATGGGTAGCTGAAGGTTCTTTCTGTTATGGTGGCAGGGATTAGTTATGTTTGGGCATCCTTTACCCTGCCTTCTTTGATTCTGTTGTTCATATGCTACATATTCAAAATACATCTTTAAAGGGTTTTGGATGGTTCGGTTTTGTTTTCATTAATATTGAACAGAGACATGGGGAACATGGTCCTGCTGTCTTTCCTCGCATAGTCCTTGGGTGCTTCTCACTCGCTGGAATGACTGGGTTGCCCTTGGCGTGGCCGTGGAATGTACAGCGAGGAAGGAGTGTCTGTTCTCTCCCGTCTTGTGCTTCACATGGAAAACATGAGTGCACAAATTTAAAAGCAGGGCTGAAGGGCCATTCCTGTGAGAAGAAAGGGAATCATAAGGCATGTTCTTAGGGGACACTGGTATCAGAATTCAAGAGGACCTCTTTTCTGGTTTTTTACTCATAGTTTCTCCCGAACTGCTCTGCTTAGGAGTTGTGTTGTCGCTGTTCAAGGCAACGGAGCTGAAAAGAGTCTGTGATAACTTTGTATACAATAACTTACATTTATTTCAGTCCTTACAGCTGATGTGTCTGGCAGCAGTGGGTGTCCAGCCCTGTGTTGCAGGCTTTCTTCTTGGCAGAAGTACAAAAGCAATGCCTTGATTTTGTTTCCATCCGTGACAGGGGGACACAATCGCTTCCTGTGACTCCTCCGGCGTGCTGAAGCTGTGGGACATGCGCAAGCTGGTGCCCATGCTGTCCATCGACGCGGGCCCACATCCTGCCAACCAGGTCGCCTTCGATCCCTCGGGTAGGATTCGAAAACAACCTTTTCTACCTAAGGCTTTCTTTTGAAATCTCTCTGCTCCCTCTCTGCTTCTGAAGCCAGATAGCATGTGTGAAGCAGTGCAGGTGTGTTAATTTTAAGGCAGGATTACCTGATTGTGCCAGTGATCAATACATTTGTTTTCTGTGGACTAAACTGCCAAACTGGACTAATGCTCCATTCATATAAAATGAAATATCTGCACTAACAAAGAGTACAATTAATTACAGAAATATTACCTAAAATACAGAACTGATCAACAGGGGTAGAAAGCTCAGTGAGATTAGCTGCGTTCTAGTGATCTTTATTGTCTATTACTGTTTGTTCTTTTATTTGCTAATTCTGTGGTTGCATTTCATAACCAGTCTAAGTCCTCTAACAGTTGCCTCAGAACTTCATTGTGTTGACAGGACTGCTTACTAGGCACAAAGAACTGACTTAACCAGTTATTTTTCATCATCAGCCGTGTATTACCATGTCAGCACTATTGTGAGTGAGCATGCTTTTTCATTTGAAGAGGGGCTGTTCTAAAAACATTTTGTTTTAAAACCAGTATTAATCTTCCCTTCTAAAGCACAGACAAGCATCCATGTTGCAGCACAGAATTAGATCCTAGCCTAGGAAATCGCTTTGCTCAAAGGTAGTACAACATGATATGATATACTATAATATTATAAAATGTAATATATGTAGGTCTATTGAAAAAAGTATGCATTTGCATTGTATGTTCATAAAATATAAAGCTTTGATACAATATGAGAGATAGTTAAGGAATCATTAAAGCAAAATAGTAGAATGATATTTTGTCATAATGACCCACATACTGTGGAACACATAATGTCAATATATTGAGTCACTTGGCAGAAAACTTTGCCATCAAATTCTAGATTATTTGTATAGTGATTTCACAGATCTCTCTGCTGTATCATTAAATAAGGTATTTTCATTTCCAAGGGAGTAAAAATGCATTGACATTTAAACTGTCCATTTTTGGACAGTTTCCCAAAGACAAGTTTAACCACTGTTGTATTTACGTGTGTAATTTGGAATAAGAGCTCATTTCTTGTTCAGGAGGATGTGAAGAAGTTTTACATTTTTGTTTCTGGAGTATAACGCTGGCTCATTCACAAAGGAACAGCATCCCTGAAAAACACATTTGCAATGTTTCTGGCCAGATGGGAACTTTCCAATAGAAAGGTTATCAGCTTCAGGTAATCTGAAGGGGCACTTTTTTCCATCATTTGGATAAAATCCAAAATTTTCTCTGCAGGACTAAGCACACAACAGAGAAATCAGACCGGGGTGGATGGTGACAGAGAGGCAGAATACAACAGGATGCAATCCCAGCTATAAAGACAGGAAAATGCCTGGCTAAGGCTCTTGCTGTAAGAGGGATAGTCCCTGTGTCACCTGAGCAGGGACAGAGGGTGAGCGACCCATACCAGGCACTGTCCACACACACAGACTGCTCTTCTTGGCTGACAGTGGAGTAGCCAAGCCAACTCATTCAAAGTGAGTCTGAATCCTGAAATGGCTCTTGGTACATCAATTAGGGGCTGAATGATGCTTGTCTTCAACAGCAGAGTGCTGGGTAAAATGATCCAGCAGGTTCCTGCAGTGTTTGTCTCAACAGTCATTCATGGACTTGGTCAATCTAAACTCTTCTGTCAGTCATTTGAGTGGAGTTAAGCAAAAAGCCTGTCAAAGTAAGTCTAACAGCCAGAATACTCCAGAAACAAATGGTGATGGCAGAATATATCCTGTGTTTAACTGCTGGGGAGTGGGACATCTGCCTCATTCAGGACCTCTGTCTGTGGAGCAGCTTGGATGGATTTTCCTTATCAAAGCGTGGCTGAATTTCCAGCTGTGTCCCTCAGTCTCTCCGGGTGGTGTTACAACCACCAGTGTAAAATACTTGAGTGCATTAATAGTCACAGGCACAAATTGTTCAGCATCTTACAGGTGGATTTAATTACCAGATTAGAGAGCCATGGTTGAGCAGGTCTATTCTTTTGCCCAATAATTATTTAAATGAGAGCTCATAAAGATAGAAGGGGTTTATGAAAAGTTGGGCGGTATCAGCAAATGAGATTGAAGTCGGAGATAGTAAAGCCCCAACTAATGGAAGATTTTGGTTTTCCTTTGTGTTGTTTTCAAGTCATTATCTTTGCAAATGCAATGTAGACAAGCACATCCTACCTTTTGTTTTTAACTGTTATCTTTGTCAGTATGACATGCATAGGGTGAGTGGTGCTTCACAAGGAGCCAGTACCAAGGAGGAGTTTGTAAGTTCCTGGGGTTCTCCTGATGGCATTATTTGGGATGGCCTTTGCTAACTTGAGTGATCTGAGTGCTATTCATGGCACAAATGCCTGACTATAAAGCTGTTTTCTTTCTTCTGAGTCGTTTCACACTCAAAACTGAAATAAGTTAGTGAAAAAAGTTGTGTATAAATCTTTCTGCTTCAGTCACTCTCTGCCTTAGCTTTTCTTTAGCTCAGCTTAAAGGTGGACTTTGCCATATCCCATACTTGTGAATGAGGAGAAATGAACTACATAATTAATTACCACTGCACTTCATGTGGATTTTCTGCTTTGCCTCAGTCTGTCTGAAACAAGCTCGTGGTATTTCAGTGAGAAGTGGTGAGGGAGCTGTCTGGGACTCCATTTGGGGTAATGCTCTTCACTGTAGTGCTTAATAACAGAAAATATTCTGGTATTATATACAAAGAACATGCCCTTTGAATTCTGTGTGCCGTGAATGGTCTCAGAAAGAGGACTGACCGTGGTTACTGTGCAAGGTGATCCACAATGTAACTAATTTTTAAACTGAATTCACTTTTATTTTTTCATATGCAATTTAACCACGTGCATATATTCTCGTGTAGCATTCATGAATCCCTTGAACAACCTCTTGTAATCAGCTTTTGTTTCCAGTTGCTGCTTTGAAAATGTAAATATGGTTAATCACAACACAGCATTGCACATGTAAGACGAGCTGTAGAAGATTCCATTTTATATGCTATGATACATTTATTATCACATCACATTAAAAAAACCAACCAAACAACCCCCACTTCACAGCAACAATCCAGAAAGCAAGAGAGTTACAATAAGGCCAAGGGAAACCAAATAATATTTGGAAAAAGATTTTTAATTTCTCCTGTTTCTATCCAGGCTGGGCCACGTTGCTCTCAGCACCAATAAACAGCCTTGCCTTGGCTCTGGCCATCTCCAAGGGCTACAGGGAACTGCTTTACTGCAAGGAAGAGGATGTTAAAAGAAAAATAACAGTTGTAAATGAGCGTGAAAGTTGAGAAATGGCAGGATCAAGATTATTTTGTGAAAAAGGTGGTTCATTTCAGGAGACAGGAATTCTGGGGATGCAGGAGACACACTGACAGTGAACAGATGGCACCACTGTCAACTATGCTGGGGTCAGGGCAACTGTTCAGTGTTGATATCTAAAAGCAAGTTTAATTTGCTTAATTACCTGTCACATGACATCACAGAGGGCTATCACCACAAGACAGCCATCACTCCAGTGGGTGGCAGTTGTTTGCTGCTCCTCTGGAGTTGGTTTGGGTGCTAAGTGGTGCTCTACAGAATTTGTTTCTCTGCATTACCCACCCTTTACTGAATGCAGAATTATTGACAGGATTTCCTGGGATGCCACTGATGAAGCATTTGCAATATCTGCACTTGCTATTATTGATAATATCAAAGCCATAAGTGATCCACACAGACCTCACGAGGGATGGGGACACGGAGATTAAACCTCAGAAGGTCGGAATTCCTGCTGATACTGAGTCAGCAGGGAAAGTTCCAAAATCACAGTTTTCAGATTTGTTATCTGGCAACAATTTGTGTGCTCAGAACAGAACTGGCAGACATAGTCCTTGCAAATTGATCATGCAGTGCCCACTCAGTTTTCTCTTTGATGTCCTCAGTTTTTGTTGGCTGCACAAAGACAAGATGATGTTGAGGTGACAGAGCCAGGTGTCTGTCTTTTCTCCTTCTTCCCTTCGCATTTTTGGTTAATTCATACCATTTTAGTGGCAAGGAGGAGATAAAGCTTCTTGCTAGGGTGGGAAGTCTTCCAGGATGGAAGAAGCTCCCCATTGCTGGGAAGCTGTACAGTGGGGTTTGGAATTGGTGGCTGAATTGGCAGAGGACACACCTGCACCTGTCAGATCCCAGGAGGTGACTGTGTCCATATAGAGAGAGAACTGGAGCAAGACGAGATCTTTACTATTTCCCACTTGTTTTGCAGCTTCTCAAGCTTGCTTTTTGTCTTTGTCTCCCTCTTGATTACAGATAAAGTCTTGCATGATGGGAGAAAAACCCTCTAGTACAGAATTTACCAGTAATCTTTTTAGAGGCATCTGATTTTGTCCATATAGAGCAATTATGTGCTGACATTAATGTGTGTGTTTTCTTTGTGACCCCCATTTCTGACTAAAAAGCTTTTTTCATTACAACACTTTATTGCTCTGTGTTCTTTAATCTCCCAGGCAGATTACTTGATAACATCAATTGATTCCTTAGGGTGCTTTTCCCCTTGTGGTTCAGTGCCTGAGTCCCTGCTTCAATTCTGACTATGTATGTGCTGTCACAGGCAACACAGTCTCCACTTGGGTAATTCTCACTCGACTGAAGGTATTGCCAATTAACACAAACTTCTGATCAGTGATTCTGGGTATTGACAAGAGAGGAAACATGAAGAATTAAACAACTGTTTAAGGAAATGCTTTTTCTCCCCTTTCCCAGTCTCTGCATAAGCCAAACCTCTTTCCTTCCCCCTTCCTAGCCTTTGCCTGCCCTGTTTTAGCTGCAGGCTGCACCCTGTTATCCCAGTTCCTTTGGTGCAGTAATGGGTGATGTGGGAGGTTGGGGTTGTGTGTGCAAGGGCTTCTGTGTGACACTCCTCCTGTTCCTGCCTGTTCCTGCCTGCTCCTGCCTGCTCCGGGCTCTCACTGCTCCCTG